TCTCAAAGTTTACAGAAAACTCTGAAAATCCTTCAGAAAGTTTGAAGAACTGTAGATCAGAACCACTTTAACGGGTTATAGGAAGTCTGGATTACTAGGACAAAAATTTGAAGATGTGATACAGTTTGTGCTGTTCTCAGTCCTGAACATCCAGAACCAGCTGGATCAGAACCAATGGCTCAAAGAATGGTTTTATTTTTCATCAAACCCAGCCAAGGTTCTGCAGCGGTTCGTTCAAACTAAGGAACGTTTCAAAAAGAGTTTTATTTCATTATGACATTGGTTGATCTGCTGGTTGTGGAAATACTGACACAGTGGGTTGTGTCTGAATGCTACGGGGTTCTGACAGGACACATGTCAGAGTCAGAGTTTCTTTATTGTCATTCACAACACATGTGGTACATGTAGTGGAATGAAATTGTGTACACAGGGTCCCAGTTACATCCAACAATAGCAAAAATATAAAGTGTAAAAAGAAACAGTAAATAAGGATTTGAAAAATGAACTAAGATATACGCTAAACAAACTCCAAACGGTACGCTAAAAGATCTAAGATATATTCCAGTCACTAATGCCCCTTTTGCACCGCCCCTAATCAGCCCCAATTCTGGGCAGCCCGCCACAGAAAGAACCTTTTGCACCAGCCCTTTAATATATTTAGCTGATTTGAGGCTGATTCAGGACCTCTCTTTGTCCCTGCTTCTCTGGTGGGACCGAGAGAGCTCAGCCGAGCTGAGTCCGGAACAAACGTGAATGCAGGACTCTGATTGGTCAGGGGGAGGAGTCACTGGTCAGGGGGAGGAGTCACTGGATCTCAGAAACTTTTCACTGAGCCGCCATTTGCAATTTCTCTGGATGCGGAGCAGCGGCTGGATCTATTTTTAAGATTTTAAAAACAATAATGACAACGCCGTGTTTAATTCTGAAGTCCAGGCATTTTTTGTGTTTGGTGATCGACTATAAAATTCGAGTGAGCGGAGTCACCGCGGAGGATCATACGAGCTCTGAGCCGTTGAAACCCACGAGGCCGAACCCCGAGCCCCAGCCTCGCCAGCTCACAAAGGCCGGATTCGAGCCCTGGCAGGCGGGAGGACCGGGATGGAGGGACGGGGGTGAAAACTTTTTTTTTTTTTTTTACATTTTATGTATAAAAATGTTTTTTTTAAATCAGTGAAGATTAAAAATAAATAAACGGTGCCGGCTTTATCGTGAAATCCTGTTTTCCCTTTGATTTTATTAAATAATCTGTTAATTAAAGTTAATTCAACTGAAAAATTATTAAAAGACAAAATTATTGAATCTCTCATAGTTCCCTCAAACAAGTTTAAAGAAGCGACAGCCTTTGGTTCAACATTATTCTAACACACAGATGTACAAATCACTAAACAAGCATTACACTTTAAATTAAAGCTTTAAATCAAAGCTAAACTTTAGTTCAAAGCTAAAAATAATCTGTATACAAGAAAAAAATCTGTATACAAGAAACAAAACCACAATGAGTGCAAATACATCAAATGATGAAGAAAAATATAGAATTTTAAATATAGATATCCTGACGTATGCTCAAAAATCCAGGTAGAAAAATCCAAAAAAGTTAAGTCTGGTCCTCTGGACGTTCAAAAACAAACAAACAAAAAAGTAGAAATGTTTCGTCTTTCATCCAAAAGACTTCTTCAGTCTGAAGAGCTTATTCAGCTCAGTCTTATATAAATAGCTGAATACAGCACCTCAGACTGAAGAAGTCTTTTGGATGAAAGACGAAACATTTCTACATTTTTTTATGTTTGTTTTGTTTGTTGAACGTCCAGAGGACCAGACTTAACTTTTTTAGATTTAAATATAAATGTTTTTGTAGAATCTGCTTCATCAGATTTAATTCAGTTCAGTTTATTTATACAGCGCCAAGTCACAACAGAAGTCATGTCAGGGCACTGAACAGAAATATTCATATATAAAATAATTATTTAGTAATATTTATTTGAGGAGCAGACTGCTTTGAGTAACTCATAGCAGAACTCTCATTAGCAGGACTTGGATTCTGGACACGCCTCCAGAATCAGTCCTAAAGTGCAGGTGCAAATCCAGGCTGAGTAGAGCCAGGCGGAGTAGAGCCAGGCTGAGTAGAGCCAGGCTGAGTAGAGCCAGGCTGA